ATTGCAACTACCTGGTGAATATTTTTGCCACAAAGTTGACAAATGCACGACTGATATAACAGACTTTTCAGCCCGTATCAGATCGTTTGCCAACAATTTACAGCCAGTCCCAACTTCTCATCACACCAAAAACAAAATCTTTATTTATAAAGATCTTACATATTGCTCGCACGTTTTCCTTCGAGAAGATAGTTTGAGAGGTGCGTTACAACCGGCGTATACTGGCCCTCATGAAGTGGTTGAGAGGAATGCAAAAACATTTAAAATTAGAGTAAAGGGCAAAGTCGTGACAGTATCGGTACACCGACTGAAACCAGCCTACATACTGTCCAACTCCAATGACCCCACTCCAACTCCTTCTCCATCACTCCTGATCCCACACCTTCTCCACTTCCAAATAGCAATCCATTGCCGATAACAGCGTGTAAAACAACTCGTTCTGGGCGCAGAGCACGCTTCCCAGATTATTATCCCGTAGACACGGTCTCTTGAGGGGAGTGATGTGGCGACTCACACATTTATTTTATCTTACTTAAATAAATAATTATTTAACAGATATATATGTATATACAATTTAATAATAATACTATAATATTATATATATATATATATATATATATATATATATATATATATATATATATATATGTGTGTGTATATATACATATATCTACATTACAATTTATATTACAATTACCCACACATATATTTATATGATCCTCTTTCTATTTATTATAGTAAAATTGATTTTTAGTATTATATGTATTGTAGTAACTCACCGCGCCGGCCAGTCGAATTACATTGGTACTTCATTTTTTTATCAACGCCGTGTATAATAATGCGCCTACGTCACGGTGTAATCATCGGCCGCATTCGAACATCGACCGACCAGTCGCGATCTAGCTGTCTGACGTGAAATCCGTGCCGCATGCACTTACGCCGATCCTTAGCCTTGCGATTAACGTAGATTGTTAAATGATAAGTTATATTTCCACTATCATCTTCTATATATTGTGACTTCATCTATCGCCTTCTACTTCTTCATGTGAGACTCTTTTTGTGGTGTCAATAACAAAACTTTTAAGCTGTGAGTTGAGCTGAGAGCTGAGAGCTGAGAGCAACGGACTTTACCAGCAGGTAACAAAACCTACTACACCACAACAACATCTACACTCCATAAACCCAACTATCAGCTATCTATTTATCATCCAAAATTAAAACCTTACTTCACCGCTTGCACTTCACGGTCAAATTAGTACAATTCATAACACGCTATTTCCCTCAAGAGGTTGCGCGAAGCTTTGGATTATATTCCCAAATCACAATGACAAAACTTTTAACGTAGATTGTTATAGATATTTAGTAATGCTCCGGAACTGCCGCTGGACCCACGCATAAGACGAGCAGTTCAGTGTGTCACGATAGTATAAAATCCGTAGTATTTGATACTCACCACGCTTGATGCCCCATTCATACTTGATGCCCGACGACAGTGTGCCAAGGCCTTGATGGCGTCGTTCATTGCCGTTAATCAGTCGTATGGAAGAGGAACTGGTGGTTAAGTACCAGCTGCGTAGTTCAATAGATCTTCGAGATTAAGCTGAACTTGCAGCGGTCAGTCCATGGATGGGTGACCCTCAATCCCTAGCGGTCTCATGAGGCCGTACCGAGATTGAGAGAATGGAGAGAGTGCATCTGCATCCTCAGACCATGAGTGCACTTTAATATGTCCTGCGTATTTGGCTAGTCTCTGTTAAGATCATTATGTTTTTTAACCTTACTTACTTACTTATCTTCACGCACAATCCCTAACGGGGTAGCCAGAGAGAACAGATCGCCAAGTGTCACGATCCTTACATACCTCTTTCGCTTCTTTCAGGTTCATTAACTTCTTCATACATGCACGTCTCCGAGTACTCTTGACCCTCCCCTCTTCGAGCAATTTGCTCACATGGTCTTCGAAAGTTAGTCTCGGTCTACCTCGACACCTTTTAATATTTACTTTCGCTCTATATATTTTCTTCACCATTCGGTCTTCACTCATTCGTTCAACGTGCCCAAACCATTGGAGTACGCCCCTATCAATTTTTGTGATAAGGTCATCTTTCAATCCTGACATATTGCGAATCTCTTCGTTTCGCTTTCGGTCGGCTATGGTAACGCCACACATTTTACGAAGAGATCGCATCTCCACTGCATTCAACTTGCTTTTATGCTTCTTCTGGCATACCCAGGTTTCGCTGCCATACCTTTTTACTAATGCATTCAGGGCACCATTGACTTTGTTTCCGGCAGCGACACGCCTATCCACATCTAAATCACATCTTCCATCCCGGCTGAAAGCACTCCCCAAAAAGTATACAATTTCATTTACCTGTTCTAGACATTCCTGATTTACCCATATTTCACATTTCGTTCTCTCTTCGGCGTTTTCAAATACCAGAACCATAGTTTTATTAGCATTCAAACGGAGACCTTTAATTTCACATTCCTCTTTCATACACGTGACTAATGCCTGCAGTTCTGCTTCTGATGGTGCAATAAGCACTGCATAATCAGCATACAGCAGACAATTAACTTTTATGTCACCCAATTTCATACCCAAACAGCTATTTTTCAGCTTCTGTAAACAGCTGCCGAGATACAGTATGAACAGCCAGGAAGACATGACACAACCCTGTTGTACGCCCGCTTGGACGCTAAACGTGGGTGACAGGTCATGCCCTACCCGGACACAGGCTTTACAGTCATAGTAAAGTGACTGCACAGCCCTTAACAATCGACCATCCACACCATATCCCGGCAACAGTTCCCACATTTTCTTCCTTATAACCTTATCAAATGCTTTCTCCAGATCCACAAAAGCACAAAAAATCCTTGTGAAAGTGAGGTTATCACTCAGAAGCTTCTCCGTGATCATGCGGAGAGAAAACATTTGATCCGTGCATCCTCTTCCAGGTCTAAATCCGCATTGTGTCTCCCATAAGAATCTTTCCGATTTCTCTTGCATCCTACGTGTCAAAACCTTCGAGTAAACTTTACTTGCAAAACTGGTCAAGCTGATCGCCCGATAGCACCCGCAGTCAAAATGTGAACCTTTACCTTTATATATAGGCACAATGACCGCGGATCGCCAATCATCCGGGACATCTCCCGTCCGCCAGCACAAATTGCACAGCAGATGGAAGCTGTCCCAGACGCGAGGCCCACCGTACTTGACCATTTCAGCAGTAACTCTGTCTAGTCCCGCAGCCTTACCACATTTCAAACTTCGAATCGCACGTTCAATCTCTTTCATGCCTCAGTGTCATCAAGGTCCGTGTCTGGCGTGCCAGTCACGGCGTCACTCCCGGATCCTTCACTAAGATCATGACACGCATACATTTCTCTATAAAATTTACTCCATCGCTGCATGACGTCCGATTTTTCGAGAGGCATCATTGGTTCTCGAAAGCACTTTGTTCATTCTTAAGGCTGTCGCACCACTTCCGGACCTTCCAACCTCTTTCCAGAAGAGTTTGGAGTTTTCCCTAAAGTTGTGCGACAACCTCTCGTTCGCTTCTATTCTACACCTTTCACGTACTTCCTCAATCAATGTTTTCGCATGAACTTTCTGCAGCTTATATCTTTCTTTCATCTTCTCTCTCATATGTTCATCGTTACTAGAGGCCAAGTAGTCTAACCATGCTTTTTTATTCTTTTTTACAGCTTCTCTCACTTCATCATTCCACCATGCATCTCTTCTTTTACTACTACCTCTTTTTGTCGTACCACATACTTCTTCCGCTGCACTTACCATTCCATCCCTAAGGTTCTGCCATGTTCTCTCCACACATTCTTTCCTGCCATCGATGGTGTCAAGCTTTTCGGCTACCTTCGTGTGATATTTGTCCCTAGTATCCGCTTCCTGAAGCTTCGAGCTTCGGGTGCGACAGACCGACTGTGGTTCTGTTACTGCCGTCCGGTAGCGCCAACCCGCGAACAAACTCCAAAATCTACTAAATACTAGATAAAGATCTGTTCCCACGTCACCACCCCTGAACACTCGTGTATCCATCACCTGTTTTCGCAGTCGGTCATCCACCAGGAAAACAAATCAATCATACTTCTCTCATTCTTTCTTTCTCTAGTGTACATATGGATTTTCCTGTGATTAAACACAGTGTTTGTCACAAGAAGACCCTTTTACTTAAATACAGCCAGTATAAGCCTGCCAGCATCATTAACCCTTTTATCGCCAAACTTTCCAAGCACCGACTCGTATCCTGGTCGAGCGATACCTACCCATCCATTCAAATCACCACATACAACAGTGCTTTCGTTTCCCTTAACCAAATCTAGAACTTCTCTTACATTCTCCCAAAACTCCTCCAGCTCAGCCCTGGACGACGAAGCTACCAGGCGCATAAACAGCCAAAAGGAATAACTTCGTCAGTCCCATTTTGAAGCGAACCCAGAGAAGTCTTGAGTTCACAACCTTGTATTCAGTCATAAGATCGACAAACCGGGACGACAACAGCACTCCCACTCCCTGGCAGGCGTTCTCGCTTTCCGGGACTCCGGACCATATAGCTAACGTCCCGCCAGGGAGCTCTTCAGTACCACTGCCTTTCCGTTTGGTCTTCGACATACACACGACATCTAATTCTCTTTCTTTCATTATTTCGATCAACTCATTCGTCTTATCTCTCATGCCCCCTCTAACATTCCACGTGCCAACTCTGCACTCCGTCCTCCACCTTCCGCCGTGTTGGGCTGTGCGTGACGGGTGGCGGTCCCCATCGCCGCTTTGCGCGCTGCATTCCACACCAACGGGGACGAGCTGGTGTGCGTCGCCTTGGGGGGACGCCCTAACCCTCGTTTGCATGGGTGCGCAGCTGTGTAGAATTGCAGCCCTGAAAAGGGCTGGCAGGGGTCGCGACAAGCACGCTTCTACAATGACCCCCGTTTTTTAACCTCATAATAATATAAATCGGGCTGTCGTGAGGGCTCTGAACCCAATGCTGGTGACCTATTTCGAAGCCAGCCGGGACCTTTGCGAGACGGACTCAATTCTTTTTGGCGCCGCGCTGGCAGTCTGCCGTATCATAGGCGCCAAGGTTTCCACGGCTGGACGCGCTACTGGCCATAGTAGCGCTATCCCAGCATGGAGAAGAAGAATTGAGGAACGTATCGCAAAGGCTAGAGCTCTCATCGGCAGACTGATATGCTGCAGATCAGGCAACAACAGGCCAAGAATTGTGCGCACCGTCAGGATGGCGTTTGCTGGGACAAATGTCAGTTTGTCCCAGCCGGATATAACGCAAAAACTGACGGAGCGCATAGATGATCTGAAGCAGAGAATCGCTGCTTGGGGAAAGCGGATTCGGCCGTATACCGAGAGGTCGACACGGTTCAACCAGAATCTTCTCTTCCAGAGTGATCAGAAGAGGCTCTATGAATCATTGGAGCGACCAATGGTAAGTGGAACGGGTCCAGCACCGAATCAGGCCGACACTGTAGCATTCTGGCGCGGCCTGTGGTCAGAGCTCGTAAACCACAGCGAGGGCCCTTGGACGGAAATTGTGGCAAGTCAGTGTGCGGGTATTACGCCCATGGACCCCGGCATCATAACGCCGGATGACGTAGCTGAGGCGGTCCGTAGGGCCCCGAAATGGAAAAGTCCGGTGCTAGACGGGCTGCATCACTACTGGCTGAAGGGGTTCATGGTGTGTCACTCTGTGCTCACCCGACAGTTTCAAGAGGCTCTCAACCAGAAGTCGCTCCCTAGCCTCTTCACTACTGGGATCACTCATTTGGTTCCTAAAGACCAGGTTACCACGGACCCGAGCAAATACCGCCCCATTACGTGTCTACCGACCATATACAAGACACTGACATCCATTTTGAGCGCGAGAATCACTCGTCACCTGGACTCAAATCAGGTGATGTCGCGCGCTCAAAATGGATGTCGGGGCGGTGGTCGTAGAACCAAGGAACCACTCCTCATTGACGCGGTCATTGGCAAAGTGGTGAAACGCAACCGTCGGAACTTCTCCGCCGCCTGGATAGACTACAGAAAGGCATTCGACTCGGTGCCCCATACATGGCTAAAGAGAGTCCTCGAGCTGTACAAGATAGACTGTACAGTTGAGACTTCGTCGAGCGGTGTATGTGGCAGTGGAGTACGATCCTTTGTCATCTGGGCGAGCGGATGATGGCTGCGGAGAACTACATAAGGATAAGAAGGGGTATCTTCCAGGGCGATTGTCTGAGTCCAAACTGGTTCTGCCTCTCTCTGAACCCTCTCAGTACCTTACTGGAGGGCTCCGGGAGGGGATTTCAGCTACGGAAAGGAGGGACAAAAGTGACCCACCTTTTTCTATATGGATGACCTCAAGTTATTCGCCTCCAGTCGCTCCCATCTTATATCAAACACTTGTGAATTTAGCAATTCCATTGGAATGGAGCTTGGGACGGATAAGTGTGCGGTCCTCCTTGTTGAAAGGGGAAGGGTTGCTAACTCTGAGGGCATAGACTTATCTATGCCCGTCAACTTAATAACCCTTTCCGAGGCTGAAACATACCGATACCTGGGTATGTCACAAAACATCGGTATCGATGAGACTGGTATGAAACAGTCAGTTTGCGACGTGTTTTATGCACGCTTGACCAAAATGCTTAACAGCCTTTTGTCCGGTGTGAATAAGGCACACGCTTATAACGGCTGGGTCATGCCTGTCCTCATGTATACCTTTGGCATACTCAGGTGGACTCAGACTGAACTTAACGCCCTGGATAGAAAAGTCCGCACTACCATGACGTCCCATAGGATGCATCATCCGAGATCGTCGGTAATGAGGCTGTACTTGCCGCGGAAGCATAGTGGTCGTGGCTTCTTGAGCGCGCTCTCCATGCATAATAGCGAAGTGTGCAGCCTCCGTGATTACTTCCTTGGCGAGATCGGATGATCCATTCTATAAGGACGTCATTTCTTGTGATAAAGGACTTACCCCTCTAGCCTCTCCTTAGCCAACGAGCAATGGCAAGACCCGGCAGTGCAGAGCATTTCCGACCGGGAGACCGTATGGAAGGAGAAGGAGCTCCACGGGAGGTTCTACAAGGCTCTACATGAGCTTTTCGTAGACACAGTAGCCTCCCTCCACTGGCTACGCTTTGGTGATCTCTTCGGGGGAAACCGAGGGTTTTGTCTGTGCAATACAGGATCAGGTTATTAAGACCAACAACTATCGGAGATACATCCTAAAGGATAGCACCGTCGACATCTGTCTAGCTTGTCGCCATCCCGGTGAGTCACTTAGGCATGTTATCTCCGGTTGTTCGGCGCTTTCTAACTCTGAGTACTTGCACAGGCACAACCTAGTAGCCAGAATTCTACACCAGGAGCTCACTCTGAAATACGGTCTCGTGGATCGGAAATTGCCGTATTACAAGTATTTGCCGGAAGCCGTGCTCGAAAATGATCGCGCCAGGCTCTATTGGGACCGGGCCATCATCACAGACAGGACTATTCTTGCGAATAAGCCTGATATTGTGCTGATGGACCGGGCACAGTCAAGGATATTTTTGGTCGACATTACCGTTCCGTATGACGAGAACCTTGTGAAAGCCGAAACAGATAAGCAAACAAAATATCTGGACCTGGCTCACGAGGTGACCGACATGTGAGGTGGTCTGCCGACCGAAATTATTCCTGTAGTCGTCTCTGCGAATGGGCTAATTCCAGTCAGCCTCTCGGGTCATCTGAGGCGGCTGGGACTACGTGGCGGACCGCTCCAGGCTCAAATGCAGAAGGCGGTGCTTCTCGATACCGCCCGCATCGTCCGCCGGTTTCTTTCCCTTTCCTCCTAACCCTCGGCCGTTTGGTCTCCCTGCCGAGGGCCTCCATCTGGTTGGGCTTTTATTTATTTATGTACTTTTATATTTATTTTATGTTATTGATATTTATGTATATTTATATTTTCATTTTCATTTATAATTATATATTTATAGAACCCAACCAGATGAGAAAACTATATAGATATCCCATAATAATAATAAAACAACAAGTAAATAAACAACTATCAATAAATCTGAATAATTCAAGTGACGCAAATACAATACCTCATACAATTCAAGAAAATACACAAGACGCTAACAATACTGACATTCCCTTTATAAATAGCATTGAAGTCTCTTTACTTAGTCTATCACAACCTGAGAGAGATCCCTTAATAGACGAAACTTTTCAGCAAGCATAATTACATTTTAAAGACACTGACCCCACAAGCAGAGTCTACATCCCTAAACAAAAGCCATCTAAAAAACTTGCAATAATAGTTCATTATCTTAATGAAAAAACTCTTCCCGAAACTATAAAATACAGAAACGGACTTTATTACATTACAAACTGCAATATATTGCGCTGCTTGGACAGCAGCTAAGGTAAACGGGGCAAAATTGTCGTACGAATCTCAAAAAAAATCTTACCAAGCTAAAGATGATTATAAACCACAGTGGAAAAAAACGGCTAGAAAGAAGACTAGGTGAGTTGCGAACAAAAATTGGCAGAGTAACACAATACATTAACGGAATTAGATCAAAACATCTAGAAAGACATATTAAAAACATAGTACAACAGCACAAAACTCATTCAGTACATGAGGAACAAAATAAACATCTCACACACACACTTGACACACTCAAACAAAAACTTGCAGTCATCTCAGGTCGGTTACGTAGATACAAAGCATGCACGTTAAGAAAACAACAAAATAATCAATTCCAGAACAATGAAAAACAATTTTATCGAAACATAAAACAAACGACAGCTAACGTACAAAAAAGAAACTGGCTAGGTGACGGCCCTAATCTAGAGGACATGCGAAAGTTTTGGGCAGAAATCTGGGAAAGACCTGTTGAACATAATACTCATGCCAACTGGATACAAACCGAAACTAGAAATAGCAATTTAAACATTCAAGAAATGTCTTTTGAGCATATCCCAATAGAAACATTTAAAAAGGTAATTAATAAGTTGCATAATTGGAAAGCACCTGGATCAGATTTTATTCACAATTACTGGTATAAAAAATTTACAAGCATTCATAGTTACCTTTATAATCATCTTAATGAATTTATAGTAAACCCTTTAACAATGCCAGCTTACATGACAGTCGGAATTACGTACATGATACCAAAAGATCATAATGATCATAATAACCCTGCAAAATACAGGCCTATAACATGTTTGCAAACTGTATATAAAATCCTTACATCATGCGTATCTGAACTTATATATAAACACATTAATGACAATAGTATACTGGCCGAACAACAGAAGGGATGTCGAAAATTCAGTCAAGGCTGCAAGGAACAATTAATCATAGACTCTGTTATACTGAAACAAGTTCAGAAAGAGAAGTCCGACTTGTTTTCCATGTACATTGATTATAAAAAAGCTTATGATTCAGTCCCCCCATTCGTGGCTAATAGAAGTCCTGAAGATGTACAAAATACATCCAAAACTAATCATTTTACTAACATCATTGTTGAGTCTCTGGAAAACTCGATTAATACTCACGACTCCGACTAAAATGATAGAGACCAATCCAATAAAAATACAGAGAGGAATATTCCAAGGTGATGCACTGAGCCCATTGTGGTTCTGTCTTGCTATAAATCCCCTATCTAAGTTATTAAATTCATCTGCAGTAGGTTACCCCTTACATTATACTGATAACAACAACATTCGCATAAAAATTAACCATCTACTTTACATGGATGACATAAAACTTTATGCTGATACGGAAAATCACTTAAATCAATTAGCTTACCTTACGGAACAATTCACAAATGACATAAAAATGGAATTTGGAATAGATAAATGCAAAATAAACTCGATAACAGCAGGACATAACTATCAACACCATTTTACTTTGGAAACTGGAGATAAGATAGAACCACTAGATGAAAATGAGGCATATAAGTATCTAGGTTACAACCAGTCACGACAAATACACTATAAATATACTAAAGAAAAATTGAAACAACAGTTCCGACATCGAATCAACACAATACTAAAGACACAATTAAACGCTAGAAATACAATAAAGGCCATCAATACTTTTGCTGTACCAGTACTCACTTATTCCTTCGGTATTATCAATTGGGCAAAGTCTGATTTAAAAGCTCTACAACGGATTATAAACACAACATTGACCAAATTTCGCAAACATCATCCAAGGTCTTGCTTACAGAGACTGATATTGCCAAGAAAAGAAGGTGGCAGGGGAATAATCGATATATTAAACTTACATAACAAGCAAATTAGGACCCTCACACAATACTTCTTCAACAAATCAGAATCTTCCACACTCTACAAGGTTATAGTACAAAATGATAGTAAACTAACACCCTTGAACTTAAAAGAAAACACTACACAAAACTCTGAAAAACTGACCGACGACAAAACAAAAATCACCGAGTGGGCTGATAAGTCTCTACATGGAAGACATCGACATGATATAAGCCAAAATAATGTCGACAAAGAAGCATCGAACGCATGGCTGATTCATGGCGAACTTTTCCCAGAGACTGAAGGTTTCATGATTGCTATACAGGATCAAGTAATAGAGACCAGAAACTACCAAAAGCATATTATAAAAATCTTAACTTCTGATACGTGCAGAAAATGCAACAATTGTCCAGAAACTATTCCACACATCACAGGTGCGTGTAAAGCAATAGCCCAAACAGATTACAAACACAGACATGATCAAGTTGCAAATATTATTCATCAAAAACTAGCCCACCAATATAACCTAATAAACTCTATTGAACCCTATTATAAATACAACCCAGAAAGCGTATTAGAAAACCCCAAAACGAAGATATACTTTGACCGCGATATCCTCACAGATCGGACCATTCACTGTAACAGACCAGATATTACATTGATAAATAAAACTAACAAAACCGGATACCTTATAGATATAGCAGTCCCTAATACGCACAATCTACAAACTACAATAGCTGAAAAACTCTCTAAATATGCAGAACTTAAAGATGAAATAACTCGACTCTGGCATCTTCAAAAAGTAATTATAGTGCCCATTGTCCTATCGACAACCGGCGTAATACCGAAGCAATTACACCAATCTGTAAAAACTTTAAATTTACCACCCAATACATATAAACTTTTACAGAAAGCTGTAATACTGAATACATGCAGAATAGTTAGGAAGTTCCTGCAAACTGAAGAACAAACCATACCTCCTATACTTAGACAAATTGCCTTACAACCTAACACACAGGTAACTGAATAAGGTAGTTCACAGGATAGCACCAAATCCAGCACTAATATACACTTGGCATAGGCCCGTGCTATTAGTAAACCGGTAAAAGCCGAGATATGAAAGCAAACAAAATAATAATAATAATAATAATAATTGTGGAAACGCGCAGTACGCCTCTCGAAAATCGACCGCGACTTCCCCGCATAGCCCTAAGCAAGCGGAATCGGGCTGTCGTGAGGGCTCTGAACCCAATGCTGGTGACCTATTTGGAAGCCAGCCGGGACCTTTGCGAGACGGACTCAATTCTTTTTGGCGCCGCGCTGGCAACCTGTCGTATCATAGGCGCCACGGTTTCCACGGCTGTCGAGCTGTACAAGATAGACTGTACAGTTAGAGACTTCCTCGAGCAGTGTATGGGGCAGTGGAGTACGATCCTTTGTCATCTGGGCGAGCGGATGATGGCTGCGGAGAACCACATAAGGATAAGAAGGGGTATCTTCCAGGACGATTGTCTAAGTCCAATCTGGTTCTGCCACTCTCTGAACCCTCTCAGTACCTTACTGGAGGGCTCCGGGAGGGGATTTCAGCTACGGAAAGGAGAGACAAAAGTGACCCGCCTTTTCTATATGGATGACCTCAAGTTATTCGCCTCCAGTCGCTCCCATCTTATGGAATTGCTAAACATCACTTGTGAATTTAGCAATTCCATTGGAATGGAGCTTGGGACGGATAAGTGTGCGGTCCTCCATGTTGAAAGGGGAAGGGTTGCTAACTCTGAGGGCGTAGACTTATCTATGCCCGTCAACTTAAGGACCCTTGCCAAGGCTGAAACATACCGATACCTGGGTATGTCACAAAACATCGGTATCGATGAGACTGGTATGAAACAGTCAGTTTGCGACGTGTTTTATGCACGCTTGACCAAAGTGCTTAACAGCCTTTTTGTCCGGTGTGAATAAGGCACACGCATATAACGGCTGGGTCATGCCTGTCCTCATGTATACCTTTGGCATACTCAGGTGGACTCAGACTGAACTTAACGCCCTGGATAGAAAAGTCCGCACTACCATGACGTCTCATAGGATGCATCATCCGAGATCGTCGGTAATGAAGCTGTACTTGCCGCGAAAGCGTGGTGGGCGTGGCTTTTTGAGCGCGCTCACCATGCACAATCGCAAAGTGTGCAGCCTCCGTGATTACTTCCTGGCGAGATCGAATGATCCATTCTATAATGACGTCATTTCTAGTGATAAAGGACTTACCCCTCTAGCCTCTCCTTAGCCAACGAGCAATGGCAGGACCTGGCAGTGCTGAGCATTTCCGACCGGGAGACCGTATGGAAGGAGAAGGAGCTCCACGGGAGGTTCTACAAGGCTCTACATGAGCCTTTCGTAGACACAGTAGCCTCCCTCCACTGGCTACGCTTTCGTGATCTCTTCGGGGGAAACCGAGGGCTTTGTCTGTGCAATACAGGATCAGGTTATTAAGACCAACAACTATCGGAGATACATCCTAAAGGATGGCACGGTCGACATCTGTCGAGCTTGTCGCCATCCTGGTGAGTCACTTAGACATGTCATCTCCGGTTGTTCGGCGCTTTCTAACTCTGAGTACTTGCACAGGCACAACCTAGTAGCCAGAATTCTACACCAGGAGCTCGCTCTGAAATACGGTCTCGTGGATCGGAAATTGCCGTATTACAAGTACTTGCCGGAAGCCGTGCTCGAAAATGATCGCGCCAGGCTCTATTGGGACCGGGCCATCATCACAGACAGGACTATTCTTGCGAATAAGCCTGATATTGTGCTGATGGACCGGGCACAGTCAAGGATATTTTTGGTCGACATTACCATTCCGTATGATGAGAACCTCGTGAAAGCCGAAACAGACAAGCAAACAAAATATCTGGACCTGGCTCACGAGGTGACCGACATGTGAGGTGGTCTGCCGACCGAAATTATTCCTGTAGTCGTCTCTGCAAACGGGCTAATCCCATTCAGCCTCTCGGGTCATCTGAGGCGGCTGGGACTACGTGGCGGACCGCTCCAGGTTCAAATGCAGAAGGCGGTGCTCCTCGATACCGCCCGCATCGTCCGCCGGTTTCTTTCCCTTTCCCCCTAACCCTCGGCCGTTTGGTCTCCCCTGCCGAGGGCCTCCATCTGGTTGGGCTTTTATTTATTTATGTACTTTTATATTTATTTTATGTTATTGATATTTATGTATATTTATCTTTTCATTTTCATTTATAATTATATATTTATAGAACCCAACCAGATGAGAAAACTATATAGATACTCCAAATAATAATAATAATCTTTATTTGCAAGAATATACAATGGTGTTAGAGTATAATTTGTTCTACATATTCTACCATAGTGGTGTGCAAATATTAATAGTCAAGTACTCGTAACTTATACAACAATATTTATCAAATTTTTAACATTACTCAGTTGATTTGATGACTAACTTATTATGCAACAGTTTCAGAAAAATAAATTGCCAATAAGATGTATAAATATTCTTATAGCTCAACGTCAAATATTAATATTTTTATGTCAGTAAATATAATGTCAATTATAAATGTTACATATCGAATCGTCATTAATTTATTTCCATATTTATATCAAATTAATTAATTAAATAATTATTTTTTAAATTATAAGAATACCATAATTCAAACATTATTTTAAACATTGTGACAAATTCTTGAATATATCGGCTACTTATGTGCAAAGAAGTATTTAATTGAGTAAAAAGATTGCTAGATAAGCCATTTTTAGGCGAGTTTTCATTCTCATTATTGGTAACTCTCTAATCACTTGAGGTATCTTATTAAAAACTTTTATACACATTATGTAACAATATTTATGGAACAAAGCTGTCCTGCAGGCAGGTATTAACAATCTAGTAGTTGGGTCCGTAAACATAACATTGGCCTTTAAACAGAGCATCATAATTTACTGATTTCTACAAGTTTCCTTACTTTTGATTTTTAAGTTTACTAAGTTTGAATATGAATATGTTTAAGGCGAATGTTGAAATAAATTTCTATAATTTATTTAATTATTAAATGTTTGTAATTATCAAAAAATATTTAAATGAAAAATAAAGCAGTCATTGAGACATGTACTCCATAATCCCGTTTTTTATTTTACCAGCAAAACGTTTAATTAAGTATAAATAGATATATACTTACTTACTTACTTACTTACTTACTTACTTATCTTCACGCACAATCCCTAACGGGGTAGCCAGAGAGAACAGATCGCCAAGTGTCACGATCCTTACATACCTCTTTCGCTTCTTTCAGGTTCATTAACTTCTTCATACATGCACGTCTAGGTATCCGAGTACTCTTGACTCCCCTCTTCGAGCAATTTGCTCACATGGTCTTCGAAAGTTAGTATCGGTCTACCTCGACACCTTTTAATATTTACTTTCGCTCTATATATTTTCTTCACCATTCGGTCTTCACTCATTCGTTCAACGTGCCCAAACTAACAATTTTTGTGATAAGGTCATCTTTCAATCCTGCCATATTGCGAATCTCTTCGTTTCGCTTTCGGTCGGCTATGGTAACGCCACACATTTTACGAAGAGATCGCATCTCCACTGCATTCAACTTGCTTTTATGCTTATTCTGGCATACCCAGGTTTCGCTGCCATACCTTTTTACTAATGCATTCAGAGCACCATTGACTTTGTTTCCGGCAGCGACACGCCTATCCACATGTAAATCACATCTTTCATCCCGGCTGAAAGCACTCCCCAAAGTATACAATTTCATTTACCTGTTCTAGACATTCCTGATTTACCCATATTTCACATTTCGTTCTCTCTTCGTCCTTTTCAAATACCAGAACCTTAGTTTTATTAGCATTTACTTAATTAATCATTAGGTATATACTTAATTAATCGGATATAAAAAGGATAACTTTTTATATCTGATTAACCTTATGTTAACAAAGAAATTCAGGGGATACTGTATATGGCAGTAATTTTTTCTTCTAAAAGTCAAAGCTCGAAAATACAACTGTCCGATCTGATTCTTGGGGAAAATTGTTTAAGTTTTTCAATAAACTCACCTCTTCAGAGATTATTGGGATTTTGTACATTTTGAATTAAAATCCAACAAAAGGCAGGTATGTGCATTATGCTTATTCCTGGGAACATGTTCTTATTTGAATATTTTTAAATTATTTTGCATCATGGTAAAAATTCAGTCAATTGAAGATTGATAAACTTTTCTTTATTTTTTACCCTTCTAAATCTTTGAAAACATTATACCCCACTATATTCTAAAGTTATGCAAACAACATCACTGTTTTAAGTCATAATAGATTTGGATAAAATTTTGGTATCCATGAATCTATGTTTGTAGTAATAATAAATAAAAATTTGTGCTTCTATGCAAAATTATCAAATTTTAATGCAGTGGTTTTATTTATGTCAGTAAATAGTAACTGTTTTAACTTTCGATGGATTCAGTTTCGAAATGTATTATAAATTAATGTTATAAATCTTAATCTTAGGAATTTTAATTAAATACAAGCGCTTGCTATTAATTCAGTAATTTATTACTTAAGATTTAAATTAGCAACGACATTAAATTTTCAAAGTATTCCTTGCAAAAAATTATTAGCTCACTCTTTTTTGTGTTGTATATAAGCCCGTGAGTACTGGCATATGAATTACAAAGTTTCACTAATTTTCTCAGTGCAAAACCTACCGTTATTTAGCGGTTTAGTCAAAAATACATGTTTGTCTGAATACATAAAATAAAGTAGAAATTGCGAATTATATAAGAGCCATAGACAAGTTTTATTTTGTAGCATTTATTTTACCTGAATATCAGTTAGTCTTTAAATACTAAGTATAACTTTTATTTATATACTTCTATTTTCGAAATGTACAGGCCGTTGAACATTCTTATTTATATTAGTATTTAATCGTGAAATAAGTTTATATCAAGATTTAAAACACTATAAGCTTTAGGTTTCTGGACGTGTGGGGGCAGCGCGGCGGACACTTCCTTGCCCTAAAACCCTTTCAGAAATGAGGGAGGCCTGTGAACAGCAGTGGGACGTATATAGGCTTTAACTTTTATAATAACTTTTTTCTGCTTTAGGTATGAACAATAATGTTAAAAAAGTGAGGACCATAAAGATGTTTATATTAGGTCTTTATCTATGAAATAGCCGTCTTTTATGAAACAAGTTAAAGTATTTTTTATTTCTATTAATAATTGCAGTTAATTATGCCCTTCTTGAAGAAATCAGCTGTATGGAAGATAAAAAATTCTTAAAAGACATTTTGTAGAAGTCTGTAGGCACAAGGTCTGTTGAGTATAGCAAATGTAGAGCTTCCAACCCCAGCTCTTGAAACATGGAGAAC